TGCTGAGCCCAGTGCCAACCTGGGACCTCCTTGCACCCACCCAGCATGTCACAGCACCCTGCGGGAACAGAGGGTACCCAGAGGGGTGACGGGGCTCCCCCCACAGTGGAAGGAAGGGGGGTCCCCCGTACCTTGCAGGAGATAAGGGCTGGGCAGTCCATCTCCCCGAGGCGCATCTCCCAGCACAGGGGACTGGTCGCATCCTGTTTTTTGCAGCCATTCCTCCATCTCCTGCAGCCTGGCCTTCAGCTGGTCGGCCTGCGGGCGAGATGCAGGGGGACACAGGGGGACGATGAGGCAGCGTGGGAGCTGGGGTGCTGCTCCCGCCTCAGCAGAGCACGGGCTGTACCTCATCCTGCACCAGCCCGTAGCAGGCAGGACACTGCTGGCAGCGGGAGCTGGGCGGGTCGGGGAAGAAGTTGGCTTGGCACCGGGCGCACTTGTAGCCCACGAAGCCGGGGTGGCAGAGGCAGGTGCTGTTCTCACGGCACTGCGGGGTGACGGAGCCCAGTGGGGAGCAGTTGCAGGCTGCAAGAGTGGCAGAAAGGCGTCACGCCGTGGCTGCCAGCCCTGGTTTAGGGACCGAGGCATGGTCCCCATCCTTCTTACCTCGGCAGCCCCTGGCTGAGAAGCCAAAGAAGCCATGGTGGCATTGGTCACACTGCTTCCCCGTGACGCCTGGCTGGCAGGAGCACTGCCCCGTCAGTGCGTGGCACCCGCTCTCCCGCGACCCCATCGAGTGGCACTTGCAGCTGGCACCGAGAGGTGGAGGGTGATGAGCAAGCAATGGATGCAAAGAGCAGAGACCAGAGCCGGGGACGCAGAGCCACCGCTGTCCCCTCACAGCCCCATGCCATGCCCCACATACCTCCTGCACCCCACGGCGGGCTGCAGGCCATAGTAGCCGGGCTGGCAGAGCCCGCAGGTTCTGCCTGTCACATGCGGGAGGCAGTGGCACTGGCCCGTGCCGGGATCGCAGCCTTCCATCCCAGGGGCTGAGCCATCAGGGCTGCAATCACAAGCTACGCGAGATAAAACACTGCTTACATCCCGGCACAGGGCTGGTGGATGGGGCAGTGGGAATGGGGCACCGGGGCTGAGCCCCTCACAATGTCCCCCCCATCAAACAGGGCTCCAGGAGCCCGAGCCCCTGCAGACCGGGGTATCTCCAGGGAAGGACGGCAGTGGAGAGAGGGAGCAAAGGAGCCCCTGAGCATTTGGGGCCAACCCAGACTATCCATCAGCCCTTAAAAACACCGGGCATCCCCCTTCCACCCTCTGCCTCCACTGCTGGGAGGATTTTGGCTGCAGTGGGACCCAGGGGAGGAGGGCCAGCCCCCGGGGCTCTACTTACGTGCACACTTCCCAGCAGGGTTGGGAGCCAGCGCATCCCCATAGAAGCCCGTTCGACACCTCTCGCAGTGCTCGCCCGTCGTGTTGTACAAGCAGCGCAGGCACTGGCCGGACACGGGGTCGCAGTTTCCCACGGCGTTGAGATCCACGTTCCCGTGACACTGGCAGGGGACGCAGGGATGCACAGGGCCCCTCTGCCCCAGGGGGTCCCCAAAAAACCCATCATCGCAGAGCTCACAGCGTTTTCCTGGGGAAGGCGAAAAGGTGGGGAGGGTCCAGTCATGCTGGTGTTGCCCACGGCCCCCTCGCCCACCTGCCCCCAGCCTCACCTCTCTGCCCCGGGGGGCAGTGGGTGCAGACCACCTCCCCGCTGCCGGGCACCTCAGTGCAGGGCGAGTGACCAGGGCAGGGGCACGGCTTGCAGTCATCGAAGCGCCCTACGAAGGGGTTGCCGTAAAACCCAGGGCTGCAGCGCTCGCAGGAGGGACCTTCTGTATTGTGCAAGCACTGGCAGTGCCCTGCGAGGAGGAAACCAGAGCTGAGGGTCTGCAAAAAGCAGCCCCGAATAACAGCAGGGACCACGGGAGGGATGGAGAGCCAAGTGTTGAGCGTGGCACACTGTGGGTGCCGAGAGGGATGCGCAGCTCCAGCCAAGGGGTAACGCTGGGATTGCACGACCCCAACTAGGACTTGGAACGTTTTCCCTCCCTGCCCCGTCCTCGCTCAAGGGAGAAGGTTTTGGAGAGGACGCCAGGGCCCCAGTGCCAGCCCTGCGCTCCCCTGCGGCGCAGGGACGAGGCAGCGCTGGCACACGCAGGCAGCACCGTCAACATCATGGAGTCTGTCGGCGCCTGCGATAATCGACAACACATTTCTCAGCGACGAGGCGCGTCATTTCCAGCCTGTCATGGAAAACACAAGCAGCCAGCCGGCACCCAGCGGGGAGAGAGCGTCTCCTCGCGAGCCGAGCCGGTGAGTCACGGCCTTCTGAAATCGGCTGGGAGGAGGAGGAGGAGGAAGGATGCTGAAGGAACCCCCACCTCCAGGCAGATGCTCTGCTTGACTGGAGAGAGAGAAGCAGCCAGGGGGAGGATTTTTCCCCATGATTCGTGGGGTCAGCTCATACCAGGCGGGTTGCGCAGGAGGGAATGGGCTTTTTTCCATTTTCCCCACATCCAGGCAGAGTCGGACGATGGAAAAGAAAGGAAAAGTGGGTGGCAGGAAGGAGTGGAAAGACAAATGAAAGGAAGTGTGCGGGCTGGCTTGGGCTGGCAGCGCCCGGGCAGGGACATCAAAAGCCTGGCCTCGTCCCTGGGGATTGTGCAGTTGGCAGTGCCAGCCCTGGCTCTGCGAGACAAGGGACGAGTTTGCAGAGCTGCTGCCGCGTTTCCGCTGGCAGGGCAGGGGCACTTGCTGAGCACCACGCCTCTTCCAGCCCTTTCCATCCCGGCCATACAATATTGTTGCTCCTCACTGAGGGGAGCTGGCCAGTGAGGAGCCCCAGGAGCTCCGTCCGGGTACCAAATATGCATTGTCTTATTTCCAAGCTCTTTTCAGCACCGATCAGAGCCGCTGCTTTCCGCAGGGGTGGACGGGGAGCAAGGCAGCATCTCATGAGCCCCTCATGGCTCTGATCTGCCTTTCCCCGGGGCTGACAGCAGCGAGGCTGATGCTGGATTCACGCAGCAACCTCGAGGTCTGGGGCAGCAGTTTGCAATCCTACCCCTGTTCCCCAACCAAAGCCATGCAGACATTTTGCCTGGCAGGAGAGGGGAGAGCCAACACCCCGTGAACCACCCCAGATGCCGCCCCACTGCCCTGAAGACTTTGCTTTTGCTTTTTCCTCCCTTCAAGCCACAGTCCCTGCTGCAGTCACACATCTCTGAGCTGGATATGGAGGCAGAGCAGGGCTTGGGCTGGCAGCATGAGAGCTGGCTCCTCTGGTGCCTTCCCACAAGCCTGACACTGCTGTGTTTTCCTGCTCTTCTTCTTGTTTCTCTGCTTAGGTTCGCCCCCAGTTTGCAGGTGCCAGGGCTGCAACCAGTCCTGCTCCACTCCTTGGGCAGCGATGCTGCCTGCAAGACCATCATGGCAAAACCCTCTGCCCCTCTCCTGCCCTGACCCCTGCCTCCCCTGCCCCGCTGAGGACCAGCACCTTTCCTTTCTCCTCCTTTATGATTTTAAAGTACCATGAAAGATGCCCCTCTTATTATAAATTACCACCATTATCACAGTTTGCTAATTATCTCTGTCTCTGCAGTTATGAACCCAGTCCCTCTAACCAGCCAAGCAATTCAGTTTGCAAGTTTTGGGTACTGCAACCTCACGGATGGTTTCCAGCATCACTCAGAAACAAGCAAAGACATGAATTTGTCACCATGCACACAGCAATGGGGCGAGCGGAAGCACCGAGGGGTGCGTACCTGTGAGGGGGTGGCAGTCCCCGTGCTGGTTGCAGGTGCAGGGCACGCAGCTGACGAAGGGGCCACCGAAGGGGATCTCCCGCTTGAAGCCGGGTGCGCAGGACTGGCAGAACTGCCCGATGTAGCCCGGGGGACACGTGCACTCCTCCACCCAGCCCGCCCGCACCCCCGGCCCAGGGCGAGCAGACGTGAGCTGGACCTCACTCAGGGACAGCCTGCCTGCGAGAGGGGAGAGCAGCGTGAGAATGGGATGGCACGTCCCCCAGCCCTGCTCTCTCCATCCTGCCTGGAAATGCTCCAGACAGGCATAGGAGACCCCAAAATACCTCCTGGAGAGCCTGGGGTGTTCACAGAGAGGAGCCAGCCCCTGCCCAAACACACCCCCTGCAATGCTTCTTGTCCCTGAGAGCCTGATGCTGCTTCGATATCCCCAGCCCCATCCCATGGGGGTGTTGCATGGAGCCACCCACCTCGCACGGGGCCGCGGCTCACACGGAGGCGGAGGGCGGTCAGGTTGGAGAGCAGGCGCTGGAAGCTGAAGGCCGACAGTAAAGGCTCCACACCCTCCTCTGCCTCGTGCAGCCTGTTGGAGAAGGAGTGTGGGAGGAAAGACAGGGCTAGCTTGACAGCCACGCACTGCAGGACAGCTCGGCTCCCCGATTGGGACCCGGGTGCAGCAATGGGGGCACAGTTAAATCCCCAAGGAGGGCAGGGAGCAGGGATGAACCCCACAGCACAGGGAAACCCAGGCAAGATCAAACACGCTGTGTCCCAAACCCAGCCGAGGTTCCCCAAAGCACCGTGACAGGTACCTGAAGGTGACAGCCTGCTTTCCGCGCTGGGGCTGGGTCTCACTGCTGGACATGGTGATCTCCATCCCCTCACCCTCCAGCACCAGCTGGACCCGGAGCAGGAGCACCCCGGTCTCCATCCCAGTCCCATTCCCCTCCACTCCCAGCAGCAGGGACAGGAGTTGCCCATAACTGAGATGCTGGTTCTGCAGAAACTTCTCTGCAAGGAGAAAGAGAAGGAAAATCTGTAGGACATGGATGCACCAGCTCTGCTGGGGATCCCAGCATGGTCCTGTTCTCACAAGGAGCCATGGTCACCCTCCTAGAGCAGGGTCAGCTCCAACCTGCCCTCCCAGGATCCCAGTCCACCGCTCCAATCCCCCTCCGCCTTGTGTTAGTGAACTGTGCTCAGCTCTGGGATGGAGCCCAGCGCCTCATGCACCGGCACAGCAGTGGGATGCCCCACGAGAGCACCGGGGGGGTCCCCATGGCAGAACAGGGCTCCAGGGACCCGGCACACACAATACCTGGTGCAAGAAAATCCACCGGCTCCTCTCCGTCCCACTCGGTGACAATCTCCCCATCAGCCCAACGCAGAGGCAGGTCCGCAGCACCCGGAGCTGCGGCAGCCCAGCCCTCCAGCCCTGCGTGATAGCACACAGCGACAGTGCATGGGCAAAGGGAGCAGCGAGTCCCCACCAGCCCAGCACCAGCAGGGTGCTGCTTTCGGGGGCTCTGTCCCTCCTCCTGAGACTCTCCGGGGTCTTGTAAAGGGCCAGCGCTTTGTAACACCCTGCTCCGCTTGGGCTCTGCGCTCTCATGCGCCAGAGAGTGGTCCTAGCCACCCCCCCCCATCTGTTTATTTTCTTATGATTTGGAGGAAATTATTATCTTTAAACTTTTACCCCCCTGCCTGTGCCGCGGTTCCAATGTTACTGTAGGCTGGAGAGCACAGGAAGCCCAAGGAGAGACAGGACGTAATTGCATTAAGTTGTTTTCCTTCAGAAATCAGTTAAACTCCCCCCACGCCCCAGGGTTAGTTATTTCTTCCAGCCCCGGGCATCTGCAGGATGAACACTTGGAAATCTCTCCCCAGCTATCGAGTGGGCTGCACTGGATTATCAAGTCATCCTGAATTTGGACCCTTTCACCCAGCGCAGGAAACTTCCAGCTGACCCAGCTCAGCTGCAGATCGGGGAGCACTTTGGGGAGCGGGGCTGTAGG